ACAAGTTACCTACAAAAGCTTTGGATAAAATAACTCCTTTTGAAGCATGGTATGGAGTTAAGCCAAATGTTTCACACTTGAAAGTATTTGGCAGCATATGTTACACTCACATTCTTGATGCAAAAAAAGAGATAAGCTAAGTTAAAAGGTAGAAATTGGTGTTTTGGTTGAATATTGTGGCAATGCTAAGGGTTATAGAGTCTATATAATCCACAAACCTAAAAGATGATGTCCAGCAAGGATATTAAAGTTGATGAGGAGTCTCCATGAGATTTGGGATCAAGTACCTTGAATAAGCTGCGAATTCAAAGGTTGGTTCCATAAGAAAATGATATCTTTATGAGTGAGGATGAACCATAATCTAATAGTGATTCTATCTCTGAAAGTGCTGTGTTGAAAATAGGTTCACTTGCTTATATGTATGCTAGATGCAATTTAACCATATTAGAGCCTTCAAACTTCAATAAAGCAGTAAATTCACAAGGTTGGATGGCTGCTATGAAGGAAGAGGTAAGTATGATTGAAAAGAATGAACCTGGGTATTGGTTGATAGACCAAAGGATAAGAATGTGATTGGAGTTAAATGAGTGTACAAAACCAAACTGAATTCTGATGGTTTAATCAACAAACTCAAAGCTAGGTTGGTTGTGAAAGATAATGCTCAACAATATGGTGTTGATTTCACAGATATATTTGCTCCAATGGCTAGGTTCAAAACAATCAAATTATTGTTTGCTATAGCTGCTCAAAGAGGTTGGAAAATATATCAACAGGATTTAAATTAGCCTTCCTAAACGGACACTTAAATGAGGAAATTTTCATTGAACAACCGGAAGGTTTCTTTGTGGCTGGAGAAGAGGATAAATTGCATTTGTTGAAGAAAGCTTTGTATGGTTTGAAGCAAGTTGATGATCACTTGGGCATCCTTGTTTTCATCAAAAGTGATAATGAACAAACACTCTATATAAAGCAAGGAGGAAGAAATGATCATCATCTCCTTGTATGTTGATGACCTTTTGATAACTGGCAGCAATCAGTCATTAATTGGAAGTGTGCAAGGAGAATTGAAGAAGGCATTTGACATGATTGATTTGGGAAAAATGCAATTTTTTCTAGGAATGAAGATAAATCAATCAGAGTAAGGAATTTCTATTTACCAAAGGAGGTATGCTAAGGAAGTCTTGAAGAAATTCAATATGGAGAATTGCAAACCACGAGTTAATTTCCCAAATAGTCACTGAACTTTGCCAAAAGTTCCCAAGAGGTCACCATACTTCAAAACTTCCCTAAATAATCACTTTGTAAAAAGTTCTCAGGAGGTCACTGAATTTCAAAACTTCCCTACATAGTCTTTAAACTTTGTAAAAAGTTCCTAAGAGGTCACTGAACTTTGCAAAAAGTTCCTTGGAGGTCACTGAATCACTCGTCCAAATATTCCCTTTGTTGTAAATAAACTGTCTTTATTTTTGCATCACCCCTTTGATAATCATTGGTTTGCTGTCAAAATAATTCTTTGATATCTCAAACATACGACTTATCATTGTTTACTCATTAGCAAATACTCAAACTTTAGCTTGACAGTTTTATCTATGCCGATTGGGCAGCTTGGCATCTGCTTACATTGTTTACCTTTGTGTTACTCCTATTTCAGCATGAATCACATTGTTATTGATTATCATTTTGTACGTAATCACATTTTCAGTTATTCTAGTGATCAACTAGCTAAGATTCTTAATAGTGAATTTCTACTATCAAATTTGCTCACCTACTACCCAAGATTGGATCTCAAACGGAGCTTTGTCTTATGAGGGCTTGATGAGGATAATACTCAAATTGAAGATTATATTCATTGTCTATCAACTGATGGTAATGCACATCACAAGAATCGTAGATACACTCCATCAGCCGAGAATAATGATCATCTCAAGTCTCAATCATATTTAGTTCTCACAAACTTGAATAGATACCTTGGTACAAAACTCAAAACTGATGAAGAAAGATGGTGGTAAGAAATCTGATGAAAAGATCTACACAAAGTTTGGTGGGATGCTTGTCATATCCAACAATCGTAAGACCAGATATTACATTTGCTGTAAATATTCTGTCCAGATTCAGACGAGAGACAATTGAATTAAACTTTCAAGCTACAAAAGAGTTCTAAGATACATAAGAGGGAATCAGAAGCTGGGAATTTGGTTTAGGAAGTCAGAAGCTTAGGTTTTAACTTGTTTTACCAACAATGATTGGGCTGGATCTTTTGAAGACATGAAAGCACCCTGGTTATGTGTTTTATTTTGGCTCAAGTGTTGTGTGCTGGAACTCACTTATCACTATATGTTAAATTTTTGTACAAAATTACAGCACCAACTATATTATAACACAGTAGCCACGTATTTGTCAGTAAACCAGTTTTCCATTCTCAAATGAAGCACATTACTATGAACTACCACTTTGTTAGAAACCATATCTCCCGTGATTCATTTGTGGTTTCATATCCTGTGATCAGCTAGCAAATGTACTAACTGAGCCACAACCGACTGCAAAATTTGCTCAAACTATTTCCAAGATAGGCAATTGGAGCTTCGTCTTGTTGAAGCCTGTTAGATAAATCACCCGAGCCGTTAGCTAATCCAAACAAGCCATCCGAAATTACATGGCAAATGAATCTAGCGAAGGCATTGAAGTGATATTATGTGTTGATTGTAACTGAAATTCAACGTTGTTATCTCTTCGAGTTATTATCCTCTTCTCATTTGTACTATGTATAAAATTGTTTTACTAATACAATGAAAATATAATTCTTCTACATGTATTATTCTCATCGCTTAGATGTTGCATAGAGTCAATAGCTTTGAGTTCGAGAATTTCCTTTCGATTGTTGTCGGGCAGCACTAACTTTGTTGTGCTCCTCCGACTTTCGGTCGGGAAATGAATATTAGGCTTCTCTTCATTTTTTCTTTCCCTCCTTTTTTATGCTTTTGAACTGATCAAAGCATTAAGGTGATATTAGAGAGTACTCTCTCTCTACTTATCCTAAGTAGGATAAGATGAAAAGCAATTATATGACAATTCAAGAATTGAAATTTTTGTCATCATTATACGTAATTTATTGGAGGAAAAATAATGCATCAATCAAAAATTAACACACAATCCTTGTTCTAGCATATACATGACATTCCATAGTCATAAATTTATCCACCAGCCTTATGCGTGATCAATTTATTATTATTATTTTCTAATTTTCAGGTTACCACTTTTGTTGTGCCATTAGTGATTGGATACCATGATTAGTGTTTAGAAAAAATTATTGAATAAATTAGATTGTGCAATCAGATGTCACAATAACTTAGTCCCTGGCATATTTATGATCGACTCTATAAAGCAAACTATTCTTCTCTTTTAAAAACTAAGAAACAATATACAACAACATAAATGGGACGCGACCTAATGCAATGTGAGAAATCAAAAACACAATATTAATTATCATAAATGGGACGCGACCTAATGCAATGTGAGAAATCAAAAACACTATTAATTATCATCTTTTAAACCTTCTAATTAGTTTTATCATTTTCAAAAGTTGAATGAAGTCAAATAAATTATGAATGTCAAGCAATATCACCTTCCTTAAGTTCTTTTAGTCCAAAATTGAATCGTATTCAGTGGCAGAGCTAGCACTCAACGAGGGGACGCAGTTGCGGGTGCTAACTCCACCCTAGTTATCGTTATTGTCGCCAATCGGGAGGGGAGAAACAGCCAACAGAAATTCTCAGAAAAAGCACGGAGGTTGAAGATGATGATTCATGATTGGGCCCTTTCTTGTTTTTAATTGTGATTGTGGGTCTTTTTTTCATTACTTTAAAAAAATGGACCAACCAAATGCGCAAACCCAATCTCATATCCATCCCCAAATTTCAATTGCAAACAAAATGCTAACATGTAGCCGGCAATTATGGAAATTGAATCTCAATCCCTCCCTCGGTCGAACCCAGTGGTCCATTGACCGCCCTAACTGAACTTCAATTATGGATTCGCCACTCATCATATTAGATAGCACAGTATAAGTAGGGAAGAACAAAGGAATTGAAATCCCCTGGTGCTTCCATAAAGAGAAGTACTAGATTTATTATAAAGTAGAATACATGAAGAAACTATTCTTGTTTCAGTCAAATTCACTGCATACTTTCCTTGCCTGTGTGATAGTGTATCAAGCTTCAAATCACCACTTTTCACTTTAATATAGGCTGGGGTGCATAACATGCAGATTTCTGTCCAGAATAATGGCCTTCAATCGTTGAATTAGGAAACAGCTTAGCGTTCAACGGTTACGTCTAACTCGACCTTCCAACCTCTTTGCTGTTAATTACAGGTGTACAGCATTAGCTATTGATAATGCTTTTCTTTTCCCACTACTTGTAAACAGAATCATCAATATCTTACATTGAATTTGGTCTTTCTCATGCTTCTATCTATAGTTTTCCTTCAACAACCAATGAATTTTTATTTATTTATTTGTAATAATTTCTATTAATACCTAATTTACATTATCAAACAAGTTGTATTATATACACGGTAAAAAAAAAATGTAGTGAAATAAAATTAAATATATTATATACATGATAATAATGTGTAGTCTACGTTATATATATAGTCTCTTTTCGTCGAGCCTCAATTAGAATATCACTACAACAAAAATAGCCTTTTGCAACGCTCAAAAAATGTAGCTAAAAACCTTTTGCAACATTTGGACGTATGTTGCAAATCTCAGTATTGCCGTAGAGCGGAAGGATACGGCAACACTTAAAAAACCTTGCCAAAACACACTTTTAGCAACGTTTAAAAAACGTTGCCAAAAACGTCTTTAGCAACGGTTAAAAAACGTTGCCGTAAGTGTCGTCTATGACATCGTTTTTTGACTGTTGCCATAGGTCTTTTTTTTTTTAATTCAGCAATTTATGTAAATTGACTCGAAAAATAAAAAATGATTCATTCTGAACAAATTTTGAAATTGCATAAAAATTGATAATTTAATTACAAATTTTTTGATCCATACACTTGAAGATTAGAATGTGATACAACACAACCTAAATAAAAAATAATAATAATAATAAAAGTTTCAAAATGAAACAAAATTAAGAATAAAATTTTAATTCAACTTATACATCTAGCAACATCTAGTTTTCACATTCTGCTCAAACTGCAACAACACACTCAAATTGTTTCAGGTGCACCTTCAGAGCCACTGATCCCCCCATAGATTGCCCAAACAGAAAACTTGGCAAAGCAAGGAATTCTGGTAATAACCTGGACAGTCATGGTAGCAAAACCACACTTAATTAAATGCACAGGACCCGAAAAACCTCACACAAATGAGGACGATGGAGAAATGGGGGGAAAAGAAAAGGAATAACAAGTAATCATAAGGCCTGTATATCTACATTAAAGATGACAGCTTATACAGAGAACTATGACAAAATTTATAAAAAAATAGCAAGTTCACGTGATGTTCAAGGTGATGAAATTCCATAAAAGAAAAAGAATAGTTGGACAAAGTCAGAAGATAAATACTCCTCACTACCTAATGCACTTGCAGACTACAACTCCAAGAAGGAAAACTGAGAGCTATTTCTAGTTGCTTGCATATTTAGATTACCACTATTTCTCATATAAAAGAACAAAGCAGCAAAGTATTATAACATCATAACAAGAGAAAGGGAAACAGGAAATCCTAACCAAGCTTTGTTCCAACAAGAATTACTAGAACTCCAGGAGCATAATGCCTCAATTTAGGAATCCACTGAACATCCAAAGATAAGCATACAAAAAACCATAAGCATTATGCTATCTGAGCCTTTTCTCTTGTTGTTGCACAGGAAAGGAATGCACGAAAGGGCAATATTCATACCAAAGTGGTAAAGCCACTCTTATAGAATTTAGAGATGTTCTCGTAGCTGGTCTTGCTAATGAGAGAAAATGCAAGAATAGAGACATCAACCCCACGATAGCTCAATGGTCTTAATCTATTATAATCGTCCTATCCTGCTCAACAAGACAAGTGCCTAAGCTACTGTACAATAAATGGTGTAAAGATGAATAAGAAAACATAGAAGACTATATGGTTATGCATTCATATGCAGTTTATGAAACATACTATGAACCATAGGATCATAGTTATTTACAAGTGTACTTATGCTATTTAACAGTCATTAAACTTCAATAGCTCCATGAAACCATTACAGGTCCAAAACCTGGCATATTTGACTACAAGGTACCACAACCTCCAATGCAATATCACTTGGTATTATGGAATCATAGTCTTAACATCTCCGTATCCATGACTTCCAATATTAAACATATACTTAATTTTGATTTCTTGATTTCACAAACCCATAAAAACACACGCAACTCTATTCTCCAGAAAACTCAAAGCAAGTGTGCTGGTGAAAATGAGCAGCCCTCAATGTTTACACACACTAATCTATAGCAAAACTTCTTCAAATAGGGGCCCAACAACACAAAACATGATCAAATGAGGTAAAATTAAACACACAATTGTATGTAAAGACTCACAATTTAATCAACGCGGATCCATTGATAAAATTGACCTACCTACACATAAATATTCAACATTTATTTTATGATAAAGTAAACAGACAGATCAAAGGGAAAGAAAGAGTACCAGGTAGTGAAGGGCTTGAGAACCTGAGAGACAGTACATGCAAGAAAGGCTGGAACAAGAGGGAGGTTGGCAAGAGAGGAAGGTCCGGAGTACGACCGAAGGCTCGCCGCATCATCAGGATTAGAGGTAAAACAATAATTTAGTTTTGGGCTTTATTGATTTACTTCTAAAATGCAAAAAGCATATTCATAAAGTGACTTCAATTGTTAACTATTTGCTTTAACAATGCAGACCCCGTGTTCAACAAAAAATGTGTCCATCCATTTGGAAATGAACACAACTCTCTGACATATAATACATATCTCAAGAATTACGAGCCTCCTTTATATCATTTTTAGTTAAAACATGATACATTTTGTGAAAAAGCATTACTCTTACATTTTTTTCCTACAGTGACCTCTACCTGGAACATCTTCAGAATTTCTTGTATTAGCCTACAAGCAATTGGTTAATTGGCCTCAAATTAACACCGAAGAGGCACAAAACATATTCATTTCCAACTGGTACACATTGGTTAATTCAAAAACTAGAGCCTATTTCAGAAACAATAAACCTAATTCAAAGATTGTAAGTAACTGTTAAATGAGAGACCAATATGATTTACATTTGTTTACCTATATATTTCAGAGTAAATCGAGACTTGAGCATCCAAGCTTCAAGAATCAGTCATCAGTGGACAGGACAGGAACCACCAAATTGAACTCGAGGGCTTCATCAAATACAGAATGCATTCATTTAGCAATTCAAGACTAATTTCATATGTTAGAATGAAAAAATCACAACAATGTCAAAACACAAATCAAAAAAGTTAAATAATAGAAAAAATTGCAACAACACACAAAACACAAATCAGGGGGCTTCACCTTCTTCTTCTACCGTCTAATCACCGGTGGAAATATGGACTCCAAGCTCTGCTGCTGGCTATCGTGTTCTAGGGCTCGAAGGTGCTACCGGCTGCTGCGTGAGTGCGTGACCTGCATCTAGGGCTCGATGCTCGAATGTTGGAGGCCGGTGGTGGTGGAAATGTCAAATGTAGAATCGATTTGTCCCTGAGCAGTGAGCAGTAGATCGAGACATCCCTGAGAATCTCAACTTTGCGTCGAGGCCGGTGGAGAAGAAAGGAGTGGAAGTGGACGAGAACTTGGGAAGAATGGATTGAAAATTGGGTAGGATTCGTTGGAATGGATAAATGAAACCTTTATTATTATTACTTTATTTTCCTAATTTTTTTCATTTATTATTATTATTTAATTTTTTCAAAAGATATGCCTTTCGCAACGTTTAAAAAAACATTTCGAAAGGCAAAAATAGGAAAAACCTTTCGCAACGTTTTTTAAACGTTGCGAAAGCCAAAACCTTTTGCAACGTTTTAAAAATGTTGCGAAAAGCAAAACCTTTCGCAACATTTACAAAACGTTGTGAAAGGTAAAATCTTTCGTAACACTAAATAAATGTTGCTAAAAGCAATATTAACAACATTTATTTACAAAATGTTGCCAAAGCTCAATTATATTAACTTTTGGCAACATTCACTTATTAAAATGTTGCCATAGGTCCCTTTGGCAACGCTTATTGATGAATGTTGCCTTTTTAATGTTGCAAAAAGTGATTTTTGTTGTAATGTATTCTCATTCCCTGACTCTTATTATTTTTTTTTATACTACATATTTAAATTTAATTCATAATCAGAAATAAATTAGAGTATTTTTATAAAAGGTCTGGTCATGCCATTCAAAACTTTTTTATGCCTAAGTTATTGAAAAGTTTTTGAGGCCCTTTTAATGTTAAAATTTCCAAATTAACATTTTCCATATTGTCGAAACTAGGGCTGGACAAAACTCACGAACCGAACTGGAACCGAACTGAACCCGACGGTTCTTCTGAATTTAAATACCCGAAGGGGTATCCGAATCGAAAACCGACGGGTCGGTTCTCGGTTCTAGACCAAGAACCGAATAACCGAATAAGAATCGAATTTTTCTTATTTTTTTATTTTTTTATATTGAATAAATCAAATTATTTTAATTTTTTCTAAATCTAATTTTTTTGTCCCAATTATTTATTTCATTTTTTATTTTTTTTTAGCCCAACATCAAGCATTTAAGCCAATTTTAATCTTCCATTTTAAGCCCAACTCTAAATCCCTACCTAACCCACTAAATCCAAGTATCCAATTCCATTATCTAGCCCTAAATAAAGTACAAACTAGTAAAACCACATAGTTCACTAAAAAAACCCAACCCTATTAGTATTAACAATCATTTACATTTTAGTATTTTACCCCACGCAGCCACCCACGCTCACTCGCTCAGTTCGCCAAGTCCCAACTCCAATCGGTTCGGCCGTCCAAAGACCAACTCTCGTCTCTCCGTTCAGCACTTCAGCCCCAAGCGTCGCTATCGATTCGAAGCAATGAACTCTGAAAGTCGAAATTCCATCAAAGGTGAGACCTCCAATCATTCGACAGTAAGCCCTAAATGTTTTGCTGGCGCCGATTCTGTTCTTATCTGCCTAATAAATGTTATGCAATGGGGTTAAATACCAAACTAATACTTAGATACCTTAGAGAGAGTTGATTACTTAATTTGCTATCAATTTTAGACTTTTTTCTGAAGAGAGTTGATTACCGAATACTGATGGTAAATTTCTTGTAATCGAGACCGTAGTACATTAATTTTCCTCTGGAGTTGGTTGGATGGAAAGAGTTTTATAATAATTCCTCTAGTTATACAAATACCAGAAAACAGAAAGAGAAAAATCAAACTTCCATGGAAGTTAATTCCATAGCAGTGAAGTAAAAAATCTGCAACTTTCCCCCATTTTCTTTAATTGTCAATCTTGTTTAATATCAGTAGGAACATAAGAAATAACTAATGCTAGTGCTTGAGTATAAATGGTGGGTGTTTTAGTATGTTCAAAATCGTTGAGATTTTGGAAAGTAAAATGCAAAATTGATGTTTTGGAAAGTCTTCTTATCTGTATTTTATTTCCTGTTCTTATTGTATTTTCTTCCTGTTATTTTGGTGGTGTTTTGTGATTGATAAATGTTGCCGTGTTTTGGTGGTGTTTTGTGTAAGATAAATGCAAGTGTGTTAGTCTTTGTATTTTATAACCTGGGATAAAGCTATTCTTTATATCTTCCTACCAGTTTTGGGTGCTCAAATGGGAGACAAAAAACAGCCTAATGAGAGGTCGGAAATATGGAATTATTTCACTAGGATACTTGATGGAGAAAGATCAAAATGTAATTATTGTCAGAGAACATTTAAGGCTGATACTAATAGTGGAACTTCTAGCATGTGGAAGCATTTAAAAATTTGTTATGCATATGAGAGCGCTACGTTTGATGACGACCAAGCAATACTCACTTGAGAAAACAATGATGGTGGTATTACGGCAATGGTATTTAATAAAGAAAACTGTAGGAAAGCATTGGTTAAGATGATTATTATTGATGAATTGGCCTTTTCCTTTGTGGAAGGTGTGGGTTTTAAAGAATTTGTTCATCAACTTTGTCCTAGATTTGAGGTTCCTTGTCGAAAAACGATTGCTAGAGATGTGCTACATCTCTACCATGAAACAAAGGAATCATTGAGGATTAAATTTATTAATGATAGACAAAGGAATTCTTTAACCACTGCTTGTTGGACATCAATTATATGGTAGTCACAGCACATTTTATTGATAGAAGTTGGAAATTACATAAGAGGATATTGAATTTTTCTGTTATTCCGAATCACAAAGGGGAGACAATTGGGAAGTTTATTGAAAATTGTTTGCTTGATTAGGGAATAGAGCGTGTGGGTACAATTACTGTAGACAATGCAAGCACAAATGATGCAGCAATCATTTATATGAAAAATAAGTTGAAGAATTGGAAACCTGATGATACTATGATTTTAGGTGGCTCTTATTTGCATGTACGTTGTTCAGCACACATAGTCAATTTGATTGTTAAAGAAGGGTTGAAAGAGTTTAATCCATCTATAGAAAATATTCGCAATGCGGTCATATATTTTCGATCATCTCCTTCTCAATTGATGAAATTTAAGTGTTGTATTGAAAGGGAAAAGATTGCATGCAAAAAACTTCATGTTTTAGATGTTTCTACAAGATGGAATTCAACATTCTTAATGTTGGATAGTGCATTGAATTTTGAAAAAGCTTTTTTTACAATGGAGGAAGAGGATGGATTTTATTATAAATATTTTGACGAGAATGAAGGTGGAAAAGAAAAAGAGGGGCCGCCTACGAGTTATGATTGGGAGAAAGCTAGAAAATTTGCCAAGTTTCTAAGAACCTTTTATGATGTCACACTGAAGTTTAGTGCTTCATTGAATGTTACTGCCAATATTTACTTTCAAGAAGTGTGTAAAATTGAGCAAATTTTGAAAAAAATGGGTGACAAACAAAATTATTTGCTAAGTAGCATAGCAAACAACATGAAGATTAAGTTTGACAAGTATTGGGGTAATGTTGATAAAATGAACAAGATTTTGATTGTAGCAGTTGTGCTTGATCCTCGTTATAAGTTGGAGTTTGCTGTACATTGTATTGGTATCTTGTATGACTTTGTTAAGGTTGAAGCCACAAAAACTGAGGTCATGAAAATATTGTATGCTTTGTATAACCAGTACAAGGGATGTCATCGTTCAAAGAATGGAGCTAGTGGAAGTGGAAGTGGAAGTGGTGGAAATGAATATAATGATAAAGTCACTTTGTTGGAGGGTTCAAATGATGATGATGATTGGGATGATTGTAATTTTGATTTTTGGTACAAGAAAATGAAAACTAGCAAAATGGATTTTTCTGGAAAAGATGAGGTACAACGATATCTAGTGGAACCTACTGAAGATGCTACTGATCAAAACTTTAACATTTTAAAATGGTGGAAGATCAACAGTTCAAGGTTTGAATTTTTATCTAAAGCTGCAAGGGATGTTCTTGCCACTCCTGTATCTACGGTGGCTTCTGAGTCAGCATTTAGTACTGAAGGGCGCATTCTTGACCCATTTAGGAGTTCTTTAACTCCTAAAACAGATGAGGCCTTGATTTGTACACAAAACTAGCTAATAGAAGAATCTAGACTTTTGAGAGTTTTCGAAGATAGAATTTGCATTGAAGAAACAGAGTTCTATGAGAGCATTGAGACAGGTAATAAAATATATGTTTTATTTTTTTTATTAAATCTTATTAGTTGAACAATTTTTAGTTCATTTATGTTTGTTAATTGTGTTTTTTCAATTTTTTCTGTAGAGTTTCTTCGTATGGCAACTCAAGAAATTGATGATTAATCAAATAGTTGGTAAGTATTAGTAATACTTAAAAATATTTTATTTCTATGACTTTTAATTCATATTTAATTGTTTTATGTAGACTTGATGTTGCAGGCTTGAAGGCTGAAGCAAGGGAATTATTGATATGAATTGCCGATATTTTAATACTAGTATTTACTTTTTGGCATATGTATACATTGGTAAATTAATGTTATTGGACAACATGTTACTTATATGTTTTTAATGGGACTTTGTTAATTTGTAAAAGCTATGACTCAACATATTATTAGTTGTATTTATGTTGTGTTGTAAATGTTAAAAAATGAAATTATGGTACGGAACCAAACAGAACCGAACCGAATGGAACCGAATCCGAACGGTTCCATAATTAAATTTGGACCTGACGGTTCCAATTACTAAGTACCCGAAAATTTTGGGTCTGGTTCGATTTTTAAGGGAACCGAACCGAATCGGACCATGTCCAGCCGTAGTCGAAACATCTCAAATGTCCTTGTTATATAATGACAATAATACCCATTTCTCAAATTATAACCATTACTTAACCATGTTGGTCTTCTTTCGAATTTCATCTTTTTTCTTCTTCTTTAGTTTATCTATAATCTTCTACTTATTTTTTTCCTTTCTCCTTTTTATCTAGTTTTACTTGAAATAAGGAAGCACAACAAACCCTTACATTTCTATATTTTATAGTGGTAAGATATTCTTATCACTTTTAATTATTTTTTTTATCTTTTTTTATTAATTGTACATATATTCAATGCCATTTCTGTTTTATTTAAGTGTTTGAATGTATTTTTCAATCCAAGTAGCTTTGAATATCGTAATCTTGTATATTTTTAGTTACAGATTCATTACAAACTTTTTAAAGTACTCTAGTTGTTTAAT